TTCTACACGGAAGTGCACGTCCCACGTGTTCTGGTCACAGACACGGCCGGGCTGGTGAGAGGGCCCCGCGGATCCGTGCCAGGCACAGACACAAGCTTCCATTCTGGCACGAAGTGCTGCCAAGCTGGAGGAAACCACATCCTTCCTCATCCTGAGTCCCCTTCTTAAATCGAGTAGTTGTTCAGACGGGGGAAGCACAGTGGGGAGGGAGGAGGCGATATCACTAGATGGTGTTCATTATAACAAGGACAAACCTTTATTCCCAAGATAGTTTCTAAGTGAATTCAAGACAGAATCTCAAAGCCGGAAAGGCCCTCAAATGTCATTTCAATTCAAACTTCTTTTTCCGATATTCAATTCTCCCTGTAATATCCTTGCCAAGTGGATGTAGGGGTGGGGGGTGATGGTTAAATATCTCTAGTGATGGTGAAATCATTACCAGTTCACTTTTCATGTGACCTGAATGGTACACGCATCTCGTTATGTCAAGCAAGACTCTGATCCCCTGGAATTTCTACCTACCTGTCCTGGTTAGGTCTCTGGAGCCATGTCAGGAACGTGCCTCTCTTTGATAGAAACCTTTGGACACTTAACCCAGTATTTCCAGTATCTGAAAGCATCATTTTCAAGCCTCCACAGAGCTCACAAAGGTGGGAGACTAGGACTTTTGGAAAGTTCTTATTCCCCTACTCACCTCTCCAAACCTCAAAGTGAGAAAAGCATACTGAGGAAATGAAAACGCCATTAAAACAGGAAGAAGTGGCATCAACTCATTAAGGCACTTTCTACGCTACCTGGACTTGAAAAGAAATTGAAAAAGGAGAATGGAAAGCAATAAGAGGCTCGAAATGACCAGTGAACTAGCTCACCCAAGCTGGATATCTAGGAAATTGTCAGACTGATCAGTGTAGCAATTAAACATCATTTACAAGATGCTCATGTGTGCGTAAGCAATGTGATGAGGTCCCAGGATAGAGGGGACACTGCATCACAGTAGGACAAAGCATCTGGCTTCAGCATGGGCTTTGGAATCCCAGAGACCAGGCCTCCAACCCCCAATGGCTGTATAAGCTTCTTAGCCAGGCTGAGTCTCAATTTCCTTATCTGTGGGCGGGGTCAGTGAGATAGCTCACGGAATTAGAGGTATGAGGATCACCTGCGATAATTTTAAAAGGCACCCAGCACATAGTAAGCATTCCAATTCCTTAGCTATAATTATTTTTTTCTCATTACTAGGAGTCTAGCTTTCAATTCTCCTAAATGTTCCCCTACATAGTGTAGCAAATTCAGGAAGCAGAAAACCCACCTGTTGGGCAGAGAGAAATGAGGGCAATGCTCACGTGGGAGAACCAAAGCAGGAGAAGCCGTATATTAGAGCAGAAAGTACACTGGACTAGAACTCGGAAGGCCAGGTATAGACAGGTTTGACCGACTCTAAACCAGGGACATCCTTATCCAGCCTATTTGCAAAGCCAGAGGTTTAGTCTCTCTGACTGTATGATTCAGTATTCTCAGAGAGCTCTTGCAAGTATTCCTTTTAATGACAGCTAGAAAGCTTGATTTCTGTATACCTCCTCCTGCTCCCTGGTGTGTTATTGATGCCTGGGCATTAATAACAGCAACAACGCTAGATGACCTGAAGTATAGGACCTGAAGTTGTCACCCTATGCCATAGGGACCCCTCGAGAACAGAACACTGCAAAGGTACACTGATGGAGGTTATAGCTTTTGTATGCACTTGCTGCTCACTGTTGAAATCTCAGTCATACAGTACTGAGTGTAAGTGTGTGTTTTAAATGTCAAGATAAGTGACTGAGATCTGCTGTGTTTTGACAAGTAAAAAGCCAGGAGATATTGTTAAACATGCAGGAATATGTGCTTGGAACCACTGTTAGGGAAGATTTATGGAATGGCCTAATTCAGATTGTGTGCATCTCCTCAGGATGCTAAGGTACCTGCTCAGGTATATCTTTGTAAAGGAGGCTTTCCTCTTTGCCCTATGTTTGGTGTTCTGTGCTTTGAGGAGAAGACAGTAAAAATCCTGCAAGAGGGTGAGGTGTCAGACAGCTGGAACTGTAACACCTGGGTTACAAGGAGCCTGCTCTCCAGATGGAAACAGACCTTGAAGTCAATGAAGTGCAAAAACTATGAACAGATTTAGAACAGAGACAGTCAAACCAGAGATGTGTCCCAAGAAGATTAGCAGGCAGTGGTGCACAGAGTGAAATGAAAGGATGAACGACAGAAAGGAGTCCATTTAATCTATGGAACTACAGTGTGCTCTTGAATCATCAAGGGCTAAGAGGTCACTCGATGGTCATCACCAACTCTGAGCTTCGGTTTTCTCACTTATACTAATTCAGACCAAACTGAGCTTGCAGAGTTGTTGTCAAATCAAATGAGATAATGGACATGTAAGTGGTTTGTAAATTGTTAGGCACTGGACTGACATATGGGAACACTCCTATTACCACTCAGTAAAACCGAAAAGCATTATTTTACTAAGTGAAAATAAATAAATTATAGCATCTTCCTCTCAAAATGACACTGATATGGTTGCTAAGTCGATTTCATTTCCAACTACATACACATGTTCTCTTGCTCTTCACACACCACAGCAGAAGCATTAGGGAGTTTTAAAGGACAGTTATCTTGTATGGCACAAGGACATTATAGTTGACAATATTAGCCATAGATCAAACTGGCTTGGCTTGCAATATACACAAAGACTTTTTTATTCTCAGGATGGTCCTGAACAACCTCTTCTGATGACTCTGAGTCACCTCTTTTGGTGAGAACAGAAGAGAGCTCTGGGAATGTAAATTTTCTTGCTTGGATTATTATAATAGAATGTTCATTCATTGCCCCACCTATTCCCTTTCTAAGGTCCAATGCTTTGACACTAATTGCCAGACCAATCTAAAACACAGGTCTGATTATTTCCCTCTCTTGCTCAAGAATATTCAGTGCTTCTCCCTGCCTCACAGGATTAAACACAAATTCCTCAACTGAGTATATAAAGTCCTCAAAACATAGCCTCTGCTCACCTTTTTTAAGTCTGATCTCCAGTGACCCCAATGTGCATATACCCATCTCCTGGTCAAACTGGGCTCTGACCAGTAAGGCGCCAGATTCCTTCCTTTGCTTTATGTTTTCATCATGTTTCCTTTATCTGTAGTATCATTTGTGGTTTTTAATTTCATCATATTAGTTCAACTGAAATTAACTTTTTCAGAATCATCTTCTCTGTATGGTTGTGAATTAGGGCTGGCCAAAAGGAAATGTGCGTGGGATATGCAGGGGAGAAGAAAAGCAGCAGAAGTTGCTTTGGGAGGCTCTGTCTAGGTACCTGGGTACTACTGCATCTCATGCACGTTACTGATGATCTGGTGGCTCACCTCCTAGGTGGGAGCTGCAGATAGGTCCACTGCTCCCTCAGCTCCTGCCAGATCCCTCCTTCAATGTCTTCCTGCCCAAGGCCAGGTATTTATGAAGCTCCAAGGATAAGAGTATCAGGTCCGTCTGCAGGGCACCCACACATGTTAGATATGCAGCAAGACAGTTAAGGGGTGCAGTGTAGTTTGTCTCACGGGCTCCAGGTGGCTTTCTTCCATTTCACAGCATTTCTTCCTGACTGCCTACCTATCACAGGCAGAGGCAACAGATTACTTTACTGGCTCCTTCGCAGGGTCCCTAGTGACCCCCCAACCATCTTCTTTGGGGGCTTTCTTTGCCCCGCTTCTCCCACCATTGTGAGGCTAATCCTTATGATAAATTCCATATTCCATATCATTCATCCATATCATTTCTGCTTCCCTGGTCCGTCCCTAACACATACATCATTCGTCATTCCTCCTCACTAATCTCTCTGTGTCCAAAACCTGTCCATCACGTCAAGATTCACTTCAAATACCACTTCCTCATAAACCCCTTCCTGAGTGACACAGCTGCTTCTTCAGTCAAAAATCAAAATATTTTACCACATATCTTTTAAAAGTTACATTACAGACCCTTAGGTTAAACTATTATACAAGTTACATTATCAGTACAACCTCTGGTGCATCTTGCTTTCATAATGATCTATAAATTCTTATTCTTCTGGAGTTGTGCTTATGTAGTTGCAATTGAATCTTCAAATTTCATCAGGGTGTTAACTACAGAAAGATCTCAAACACTGCTTAGTATACAAAAGAGTAAATGAATTATCCATACAACCAATCCCTTTCTAATAACATGGGCAAGGAAGACCTAATGCTACTGTGTATGGCATTCTCTCACTTATATGGAGATTATTTCTAAGCCACCTTACCTTTCCATTCTTTTCCCTTAAAGAAGAGCCTCTCCAGTCTGAATCCAACACTGTTTATTCTTTTATACATGGTTCTAGTAAAACTCATTAGTTGGCTCCCTAGCCTATAGAAAAGCAGAAAGTGCTAACTGTACGGAGTATAGAGAGACAACCGGTAGAGTAAGACATGCTAAAAACAAGAAATAATAGCAGATAATTAATGAGAAAATTTATGAAAATCAGATTACACAAATTTAAAGGATACCAGTTTGAGGCCATTTAGTATACAAGTAAATGATCTCACCTCACTAAATTCTAAAGGAATTACAGTCCATCCAATAAACTGTCCTGAATCACCAATATTAAGTAATGTTACATAGTTTAGAATAATCTTCTTTTGAAATTACTTTTAAAACAAAAAACAAAAACTGTAACAGCTATTGAGATTTCACCATTTAAAAATTCCATAGTAGCACCCATTCTCAGAAAAAAAGGATTTTTTGTTTTTATTTTGTCATGCATTTATTCAACACATGTGTAATGAGTGCCAACTATGATTCAGGTACTGTTCTCTAGTGTTTGTGTACCTTTGCTCCAAGGAAATCACCAAATTTGGGAGACATGGGATCATAAAAATCACACCTTTTAAAATATCTCCTAAAGAAAGCAGAAAAGAAAGTCATTTTACATCAACACCACATTGGTTTCCTACCAAGAAGCAAGTAAAGGCAGCCAACAAAATAGGACGGAGTTCATTGTTGCCAGCTTCTTCCAGGGTGAAATAAACTGTCAACTAGAATGAAGGTTCTCGCCTTCCCCCACAGCCGTTGCCTCATTTCTCTGCCAAACACCTCTTCACTGCAGGGAAGGTCCCAGGAGACTCTAAAGGTGTTACAACCCTGCTCAGTTTGCCTTGGAAGAAAAATGTGGCAAAAAACATTTGTAAGAAATATTTGTTTTTATCATCACAGCTCCCAATAACACACAAGGAGGCAACTGTGGCACTTTAAAATTTTTTCCCGTAGTTCACAGCTAAAATTTAAAACTCACATGCATTTGAGAAAGGATTGAATGAGATCATGGAAATAAAGCACTCAGCACAGCTCCTGGCACACAAGAAGCATTGGATCAATATTAGTGATAATGATTAGCAAGAGGTCCTAAACGCCTGGCAAGTTGTATAAATTAGCCTCATTAAGTGTTATCTGGGGCAAAATTTGAGTCTTTGGCTGTTTTTCCTTAGTCACCCAGAACGCTCTGGGGCCATCACTGGAAGATAAAATAACTTTACATCAAGCCAGGTTTGGCTGGAGATGGGCAGGATTAGAAGCGCTGCCTGCAGGGATGTTTGGAGAATAGAATCAAGGCAGACCTACAGCACCTTTTACCCCATATTGTTCTTCATGACTGGTCCTTCTACCTACTGATGTGTCTTGCTTTAGGGCAAGGTACCAGAATGGGTCCTGGAACAAAATTATACACTGATTATATGATTGGATTTGGGGCTTTGATTTTTAAAGGAAGTTAATAAAACTAGTGTAACTGAAGAACTAAATGGTATGCGTAAGCGTGTTTGAAGAGGT